CATATTCATCCAATATTATCAACATAGCTGGAAATGAAATAAAATCAAGTGTGACCATGTGACTTCCTTCTTGGATAAACACTAAACTCCTTGGCATGGAGTTCAAGGTCCTCTATAGCTAACTTCCCAAGTTCTCTCTTTAGTTACAACCCATCCTGTATCTGTGTTCTAGTCCTACAGAATTGCCCCCCCAAACATATCACTCTGCTTGACACCCCTACCTTTGTCTACACTGCTCTCTTTTTCCAAATTCTTCTGTATCCTTCCCCATGTGGGCCTGATGAATGGACTGTTATCTCAGAAATCTGCTCAAGGCTTCCTCCTTTATAAATTTTTTTTTCCTGGCCTCTCCCTACCCAGTGCCACTGACCACTGCCTTATGTTTGTTCAATGAATGAGTGAATGAATGACTGAGTAAAAGAAAAAGTAATATGTATGACCTTGGATCCTGCAGAAGGTGACACCAGCCCAAGAGGGGAGCTGGTGAGGTGGGATGGGTTTCCAAGGACTACAGCTATGTCATGCAGGAATGAGCGCTACTAGAAGCATCCAGAACTCTCAAGGCTAGAAGAGTTAAAGCAGGGAAGGCCATATCCCATGGTGAAGTCCAAGCTAATAATAGGAGGCTGGGAAAGCTAAGAGGTAGGCTGTAGACTAGTACAAGGAGGGAGACCAAGGGTGGGAGAGAAGAGAGTGGGTTTAAAAAAAGGGGTTTTTCTTGACATTTCAACAAAATAGTGTATGCCTGGGTTCCTCCCCTCCCTAAGTCATCCTGAACTTAGTACTTTGGGGAAAAACAAAAATTCTTCCCCAATAAAACTCAGGATCCCTAAAAACCAGGAGCTATAATTTTAAAATCCAAGGACTACATTTATGTTATCCTTCTTTTCTTCAGATGCCTGATTGGAAATCAAGACGGGTAGACTTCTAATAGCAATCTGAGGATGAACTACGTCTGACGTCTTTGAAAAGCAGCAAACTGGATGGATTTGAGTCCATCACACTCAGTAATCTATCACAGAAACAAAGAGCTGAATACCACATGTTCTCACTCATAAGTGAGTCCTGAACATTTATCACAATGTTTCAAGGGAGAGACTGGCAGTCATGGGACACTGCCAGGGAAGGGAGGGAGAAGGGAGGGGAACACAGCATCATAAAGCCATGATCCTAGACCAAGAGAAGTGAGGGCCAGTTGGAGGCTCAAATTTCTCCTGCAGGTAGACTAGTTATGTACCTAATCCTGATTTGTACCCTACATCTCAAAAATAAAGAAAGAAAACAAAGAAAAGGGACCTGTATAGGAAAAAACCCCCAAAACATCCAGACATACTGTCTTCTTGTCTCACACAAACTCACACCCTAATGTACCCTCCTGTGTTGTAGAAGATATGAGTTATTCTATTACATTTTATCCTATCGTAAAGCTATAGTAGAAATTAGAGAGAGGTGGTGATAACCTTAAGAATACCTAATAATTGTAAGCTTTTAGTTTGTGTGTGGCACTGATTCTAAGCAGTTTATAGGTTTTATATAAATTCACGATTCTCAAAACAATCCTGTGTCATAAATATAATTATCATTCCCATTTACAAATGAGAAAACTGAGACTCAGAGAGATGAAATATTTTGCTCAATGTCATATGATGAGGTACTGGAAGAACTAGAATTTGAACTCAAGTGAGGGAACTTAACTATAATGTCATACTACCTTTCAGACATCAGGTGCAACTGAGAAAGGTTACTGGGGAAGGCAGGGTTTGTGTTGGTACTTTAAGAATTGGAAGAATGCCATTCGCTAGATATGGTGAAGGAAATAATTTAAATAAGGTTAAAAGGGGACTTTTAACCTTATTTTTGGGAATGGGGAAAAGCAGGCAGAAGGTGTAACTGGACCACATGATGCACCTCTGACCACTATGGGGAGCGTAAGACATCTTCCCCACCCGCTTTGGGCCCCATCGCATTCCCAAATGGTCAAAATGAAGAGCAAGAAAAATCACCCCTCCAAAGAAGATTGGTTTTTAACTAAACCCAAGATACTGATTAGGACACATTTTCTAGAAGTGGAATCTTGGAAGGGAATAAAGTTCACAGTACTTGTTTTTTCTTGTCTTCAGACGCCAATCCATAATGGAGGGGTTAGGCCTTTTAAGATCACACATTTCCAGTCTAGTCAGGGGAGGGCATAGGTTTGAGGTGAAAAAGAGAGGAAAATCAGAAGGCTGTTATATCACTGTAGCCTTGATATTCCTAGTGGAATAGAAGACAAGTTCATTGACAGAGAAATAGGTCAGTGTAGTAGGTAGAAAATAGCTGCTATGGTGAATTTCTAGGGCATTCTTAGAAAATAGGAAAAAAATTCACTATTGCCCAGTTAAGTCCAGATAGCATAAATATGAAATCTGCCTAATTAGCATAGTGGTATTATTTCCTTTAGCAAATCCTAGTAGCTCAGGCCAGGGAACCAGTCAACAAACAAATCGGTTGAAAAGTCATACCACGGTTGAAAATAAGCAGGGATCAAGGTAGCAGATTAAGGAAGGGCATAAAGGTCTGGTGACAGAGTGGGTCAAGTGGGTGCCTAGGGAACGCCAGCTCCAGGAAATGGTTTCTAGTGCAAGAGCAGAAAGTTAGGAGACAGGAAGGTATGGAAGAAGCAGGGGTCACAGTGAGGCACTAACTAAATAAGCAGGAGTGAGATGGGGGAAAGCAGAAGAGCAGGAAGCTAGGTCTGCATGCCAAGTTACGAGGAAGTCTAAGGTGTCCCCTTGCCCAAGTGATGGGGTCAGTGGAATTCACAAGGCTGGGAAATTGGGATATCGGATGTTAGAAAAGTCATGGACATGGGTGTCGTTTGTCCTGGATGATGGCAAATGTGGTAGAGGAAGAGTGGATGCTGTGGTGGTGTTTCCTGGAGAAAGATACAGAATGTCTTATAGGTGTATGCACGTGCCTTTGAAGGTGCTATAAGGGCAATCTATGTGCTAAGTGTGTGATGACAGCAGGGAAATGGTGCAGGGACTACAAGGGTAGGGAGAATGGGAGAATGCCCAAGCTCATCACTTGCCCTGCAATATAGTGTTGGGGAGAAGACAATGCTACATTGAGGTGTGGAAGGGGAAGCCAGATTTCAGCAAGCAAGAGCCATTGATCAAAGGAGATGGCATGAGGCCAGGCTACAGTTAAAGTAAGGGCTCAGCTCAGGGCAACTTGGCTGTGCTGGGAGCAGGCATTCCTGTCTCTTGTCTGCATCCATGACCTACATGTTTGGCAGGCCAGGGAGTGAAGTGGGGTAAAGAAGAAATATTACTGTCATTTTTCTTGAGTTTTTTTTTCTCCCTAAAACTTGTAATTTTTTCCTGCATGCCATAATAATTTATAATTTCATCTGTACCACATTGCATGCCCTAATAACCACGATGTATTCCCACATGTTATTCTGTTATTATTTTAGAGGAAGCTGCCAGTATCACTTTAATTTCACTCTCCTCTAAGGCGGCTTTTACAGTCTAGCCACATTGCTATGCAACCATCCGTAATTAATAAAAATCAGATAAAAAGGCAGTTCGACAGAGCATGGTAGTGCGCCATATGCTACGGACATTCCTGAATTCCAGGAGACTTTACAACTTGGGATCTCAAGTTTTTGGAATCTCAAGATTTTTGTAAATGTGTTCTCAAAGAACTTCCAGGAAAAAAATGTCAATGTTCTCCATGAATCAGCACAGAGGTGGCTAAGAGCATGGGCTAAGGGATTAGACAAACTTGTGGTCAAACAGGACAAGAGGGCCAACTGGCAGCCATGGAACCCTGAGCAAGACTCAGACCTTCTATAAGTCTTGGATTCCTCATCTCTAAATGGGGATAAGATCTGTCTCACAATGTTGTTGGGAGTGACCAAATGACATAATGCATGCAAGGAACTCTACAAAATGCTCAATAAATATTACTCCTTTGTTAAAAAAAAAAAACTTAATATTTTTCTTATTCTGCTTTGTGAGTTTCTCCAGGAAACTTATTGGTTAACTGAAGTCACACACACAAATATGTGTGCGTGTGTGTGTGTGTGTGTGTGTGTATACATATGTATGCACATATATGTATATATATTTTTCCCCATGAAGCATTAAAATAAGAATAGTTCATTTCTGATTATTTTCTCTTACCATAAGCTCAGGAGAGTGCCTGAGGTAATAAATATTATTTTACAGGTGAATAACTAAAGATAGTGATAAAGCAGAGCAGGAAATGGACCAAGAAGCTGCCACTACCAGTATGCCTGTCCCTTACCTACCAACCCTACTTCCCCATCGCCACTCTGCTGTCTGACTTTCAGTTGCTGTCACAGCAGCCCTCAACTCATTTGTTGTGATCCCCTTACATGAATCATACATATGCATGTGTAAATATACATTCTGTCAAGTGCACCGAAGATACAGATGAATGCCACATGCACATTAGCTTTGGATATAATGAAGTCATCTATTAACTCTTTACAGTAAGCTTATTATTCATAACTAGTTGAAGAGGTGTCCAAGCCACCATTTTTTAAAACCAAAAGTACCTCATGTTTTTATCCTCTCTGGCTTTAGATTACAGATTTGTAAAAAGCGTGAATATTTAAAAATAATTGGCTATTTTGAAATACATTACTAGCAAAGCAAACCAGGAAGTATTTCAGCCTAACTTATGCAAGGAACACTCATGAATTCTAAGTGGAAGAAATCATGGTAAAGTGGAGGAGATATGCATAAATCCAAGTGAGGAAGTCTAAAAGATGCATTTGTTAAGTGGGTGGACAATTGCTAAGGCAGACTTTTCTGAGAACTGTGTTTTGGTCTTCCCCATTCTACTGACTGCTGCTTAAAACAACAAAGTTCTGCTTCATTTGCTTTACCCACAGATTAGACATAGGTTGACATATGTAAAATGAAGACATTGGGACAAAATACACAGAATCAGCATATCTCAGTGAAGTGTGGACACTAGATACTTACTACTGCACGCAGGCATCTGGCAAGATCTTACAAGAGGGAGCGCTGGTAGATCCCTGCACATCATCTCGCTGAGGGGAATGCGCCGGCCTTTGGCTGTTAGCCTCTGACACACCTGCTTTCTTTTCTGGATTCCAACACCACAACTAACAGAACACTGAAATGAGAATTGTGCAACAGAGTCAAATGGAGCGTGAGCAGGCAAAGCCGGCCAACAACAGCAGAGTCTTAAACGGTGAAACCAGAGGGAATTTTAAAATATGGATGTGCCAATAAGAAAACCATTTCCTAGGCTTAAACATCTTTTATGTTATGGAGAGTTCTTCTTACTCTCCTCCCCTTCCCTCTCCTCTCTTCCTTTTTCACTTTCTCCTTTAGTCTTGTTCTCCCTTCCTCCCTCTCTCCTTCCCTCCCTCTTTGTTTCTTTCAAGTAAGTAATTAATTTCCAGTCATTTGTTGTCGTGGAATTTGGTTTTTGACGTTATAATTACTATCTCATTTATATTTTAGCTATTTATTTATAGAGTAAAATGATTTTGATTTAAAAATACCCATTACCAAGAATCAAAAAATAGAAATGTATAAAAAGGAAAGATTTGTTTTTAAAAAAAACCCAAACTGCTATATATAAAATAACATTAACACTTGATAAACACGGTGTGTACATGCAATTTCAATTTTAGAATTTAATGCAATTTCATTAGGTCTATTAGGAAAAAAAGTAAAATTAAAGGAGTTGCTGAATGCTTGCTCTTTTTTCACCTTGATTAGTTCCCAAAAGAACACTCTAAAGTTAAGAAAGAAGGTTAAAAAAACCAACAAGAGATTTGGATAGTTACTTTTAATGCCATATTTTGACTTAAGAGAGTATTTCTTGACTTGCTGCCATGAAGAATAAGGAGATAAGCACACATATATCTCTTCCACCTCTCCAAACTGCCGATTAATTTTCATTACAGTATTTAGATAAGGTCAAGATTTCTGATATTTATGTTCTGTTCTGGAATGTAATTGCTGGTTGATTAGTCTTAATTCTACATTTAAGTGAATTCATTACTTTTTTTTTTAAACCAGGGTCTATGCCTTCCTGGATTCTCTATTTGGAGTCATCTTTGTGTCTCATCTTGGTCCTATCGGTTTTTAAAGAGGAGCTAATCAGAATGGTGTTCTTGGACTGCCTCTCTGTTGCTTTTCGACATAAAGGGCAACTGGGATGAAGACAAAATCCTTGAGTCCTACTTTGTTTCCCTTAGAATTGTGTAGATCTGCTCCATTGTCTTCTTGCACTGCTCCTGTGAAGATGGGGATTTTTGCTGTTTGCCTTTCTGTTCAGAGACCTGTGGGGTCCTTTATCCATAAGGCTCAGCACCTTTTGCCGGCTGTCTTCATGGGTCATATTTTCTTGGCACATAGTGTGCCATTCTAACTTGCAGATAAAAGCTTTTATTAAAGGAAATAAATTCTCATTTTGTCTCTGAATATTTTTTTTGCTCCACTTGCTTTGTTCTCAACAAATACCCATTATGCTTATGTCTGATCACCCTCCAAATCCATTGTTACCTTTAAAAACCAATTTCACAACTTTGCTCTTTTTCTTTTTCTTTTTTGAGTTGGAGTCTCACTCTGTCGCCCAGACTGGAGTGCAGTGGCCGCTCCCGGCCACCGCAGCCTCGACCTGCTGGGCTCCAACGATCCTTCCACCTCAGCCTTTCAAGTAGCCGGAATTACAGGCATGCGCTACCACACCTGGCTGATTTTTTGATTTATTGTAGAGATGAGGTCTCGCTGCCCAGGCGGGTCTCGAACCCGCGGGCTCAGGCAATCCCCTCACTCAGCCTCCCAAAGGCGCAGGATTACAGGCTGAGCCACTGAGCCCGGCTGCTCTTTTTCATATCATTTTATATGATTTATTCCAGCCTGTATGCCATAGCTTTCTGCTTTCAGTCATTTTATTTTTCTTAGCTGTCACATATAATGTAACTTTTGTGTCTGCTGTTCTTTTATTTTTCTCTTCCATTTTTTGCCCTGACTATTCCAGTTGCCATTTCATCTCCTTCTGTTGTCTTATAATCTCTCTCTCTTTTAGCTCAAACCTCACTTTCAAGCCACTTTTCCCCTAGACATCATGATTATAGCTTTCTAGGGAATATGGAGCCTATTTGTTGAAACTTTTCTCTGGGGACTATCTTTGTTATGTTATCTGTGTGACCCCTGCTTTATACTCCATTCCCCGTACCCTGATTTCCTCCCTCCTTTTGATTTTTTCCCAGTTTTGATGCACAGATTTTATGTGGGAGCTCTGAATACCGTTGGCTGTTTGTGAATAACCTAAGTAGGGGAAATGAGCTAGGGGAGTTTGCATCAGTCTGTTGTCTTCAACATTCTGTCACCAAATCTCTTACTTCCTTTACCCACATCTCTCTTCAGACTTTGGCATCTGAATAGTTGATGTGACTAAGAAAAGAGCCTCTGAAATAACTGGCTCACTGTGTAATAATCCATCAATGGCTGCCTTCTCTTCCTTTACACCACTTCATCTCTGGCTGCCTTCCTTGGCAAGGAGGCATAAAAATATGGTTTCTTCTTCACCTCTTGTCTCCTGCCATGGTTCTGTAGGGACATCTTTGTTTTGTTTAGGGGCAGCGCATGGTCCTTGATCTAGTCTCTGTAACCAAAAAACTACTGAACAGACCTTTCAGGACTGCCACACTTACTTCTAGGGAAATCTATATCCCGCTCAGCGGCTGAGGAAATATTTGTCAGCTTTCAGCCTTCCCTCCCTTTCTGGTCCAGATTTTATGGTCTTTGGCAGGTGTGTTTCATAATTTATAGTTTGGGATTGTGGCCATTTCATTGTTCATTGAAGACAGAGTGTTCCCTCTCTTTCATTCTCTTTGTGGGTTTTTTGCTGGGTTTCAAAGGAGGAAAATGGAATTTTAAAAAATACCTTTAGTGTCATCTCTCAGCAGAAAGCCCTAATTATTATTATTTTTCAGTATGGAGGAAAGTTTTCTGTAGGATTTTGAACAAATAATTTTAAATTACCATTTTCCAAACTATTGCTTATTTTTTAACATGTCAAATCATCATCTAAGAGTTTCTCACGTAATAAAAATCCATGTCAACGTTTTACTAAACTACCATGTGAGTCATTTTTGTTCATATAACAGAGTAGTTAATAACTGTCAATCATGTAAGACGTTTCGAATGATACTTATTTGACTTTTTCTTCCCATTATGAATGGTAGCATTGCTTATAAACCCCTTTTCTGGAGGGACTGCTGTGACTCTGTGTTTGCCATGTTAAAGTAAGCATGCCATTAGAGAATGTTTACAACTCACAGAGAGGAGAGATATCATAATTAGTGCCATTAATTATTCACAAAGTAGCAACTTTTGGCCAAAGCTCCTCTGTTTCTTCAACAGACATCTGATAGATTCCTCAGGAAGCACTTATAAGAACAATATACTCTGAGATCTTACATCTTCAAAACTATTTTGTCTGTGGCCTTTAAACTTAAAGGTCAGTTTGGCAGGATATAAAATCTTTGGTTCCCATTTTGTTTTCTTCAGTATCTTAAATACATTGCTCTATTATTTTCTAGTATGAAGTAGTATTGCCAAGAAATCTGATGCCAGTTTGATTTTCTTGTCCTAATAAATGACCTGATCCTTTTGCCTAGATGCGCAAATACATTTTTCTTTACCTTGGTAGACTATGAATTCATATTGATTATTCTGGGTCAGTTTTCCCAGGTTTATGGAGTGCCCTTTCAATATGGAAATTTGAGAATTTGAGTCATGTATTTATAGTTGTGTTCTGTTATAATGTTTTGGTGGTTTTCTTTTCCTAAGACTCTGTATGGTTGGATTTGGGATTTTTTTCTTCTCTCTCCCCCCCCCCCCCCCCCCCCAGTCCCCTTCCTGACCTCCTTCTTTCTTTCGTTCTTTATTTTTTGAGCCTGAGCAACACTCAGAGTGTTGCTCAGGCTGGAGTGCAGTGCTACAATCCCAGCTCACTATAACCTTGACTTCCTGGACTCAAGTGACTCCTCTGCCTCAGCCTCCTAAGTAGCTAGGACAACAGGCACTTGCTACTATGCTCAGCTAATGTATTGATATTTTTGTAGAGATGGAGTCTTACTATGTTGCCCACCCTGGTCTTGAACTCCTGAGATCAAGTAATCCTCTTGCCTTGACCTCCCAAAGTCCTAGGATTACAGTTGTGAACCACTGTACCTGGCTTGTTTGCGTTTACAGCTATCATTTTCACCAAATCTTTTTTATTTCTCTTTCATTCTTTTCTTTTTCCTCTTTTATACCCCTCATTACATTCTATGGGTTATTATTAAGTTCCTTCTAGTTTAGTCTACATTCTGAAAAATTTACCTTTAGTTTTCTAATTCTTCCCTGAACCTTGTCAGCTATCTTTTCACATCTTCCTGTTACTAAGTCATCACATTTCTTTTTTTTTTAAGAGGCAAAGAAAGAAAAGTTTATTTAAAAGTAAATTAGAGAGTGAAGTAGAAGGGAGAGAGAAGATTCACCTCCCCAAGGCAGGGGAGGGGGTTACATTTCTTGAATTTTCTATTTCTGACTTTTTTTTTTTTACAGTTTTCTTAGTTTCTTTTAGTTCATTTTGTAATACTATTAAGCTATATTTTCATCTGCTTCAAGGCCAAATTTTCATTATGTTGGTATGTTATTGGTACTTTTATCTTACCATATCTTTGTAGGGGTTTGCTGATGCTCCTTTTAAAATGAAATCGATTGTTTTCTCTACTTCTATGAAAGGGGAGTATAAGAGAATGAGAGTGTTTCAGGGTGGTTATCTTATCTTCACTGTTAGGAGCTCCCTCCTCTAGTGTTGAAAAGAAATATGATATTCAACAACTTGGCCACAGTTCTTAGCTTTGTTATCTCCAGGGCCTGCTGCTACTTTCTACAATCTGAACATTCTCTTTCCTCTTCCCATTGTGTTCCCTCTCAGCTTGGATCATAATTCTGACTACTTTTCCTGGGTACTTCTGAAGTCCAGTGCTGTCTGGTCTTATTAAGGTCCTTTTATGGGTCTGCATGACCTTTCTTGTATCTAATCACACTCTGGAACCTGGAGTCTTCTCTCAGTTTAACCGATTGGTCTCAGATCTACTTACT